GCTGCAGGTAGAGGTGCTGGGCAGGCCATCCATTCCTGCCAACGTGGTGGGGCTCATTCTGGTCAAGGGCAGAGGAGGGCCAGGTGAGAGGGGCTAAGAGTGTTCCCAGCAGCAAACAGCCCCTGGACATGCTGGCTCTTACCTGTGTGAGGCAGGAGCACCTTCTGCTGCAGGAGAGGGATGAGACCCCTCATGGCTATGCCCTGCCATCCCTGGAACTCAGTCAGCGCCAGTTCCAGCTCTCTGACCCTCTCTCTCCCCTCTTTCCACCAGGTTCTCCTCACCCCCACTCTGATGCCCGTCCCGCCCTGCCATGAGTCTATGAGCCCACTCCGGATCAGTGTGGGTGGTCTGCCCGTCCTCGCGTCCATGACCAAGGGTGCTGACCCTCGCTTCCGACTGCGCTGGAAGGCCATCGTGCTGTCCTCAGCCTTTGTGGGCTTTGTGCTGCTGCTCTTCTGCCTGCACCGCTCGTCCCCGACACGGCACAGCCCTCCCAACCCTCGCACCTGGCAGCTCGGCCTGCGGGCAGGGGATCGCTACAATGACACCTACCCGCTGTCCCCCCCCCAGAAAAACCCCGAGGGCGTGCGCTACCGCATCGCCGTCATCGCCGACCTGGACACGGAGTCCCGGGGCCCCCAGGAGCACACCTGGTTCAGTTACATGAAGAAGGGATACCTGGTGCTGTCGGACAGTGGGGACAGCGTGACAGTGGAGTGGGACAAGGACGAGAGCATGCTGCAGTCCCACCTGGCTGAGAAGGGCCGGGGCATGGAGCTCTCTGAGCTGGTGGTTTTCAATGGGAAGCTGTACTCCGTGGATGACCGGACAGGTGTTGTCTACCAGATCGAGGGCAACAAGGTGGTGCCGTGGGTGATCCTCCCAGATGGGGATGGCACTGTGGAGAAAGGTGAGTTCCTGCCCTGCCCTGTGGCTGCAGAGCAGTGAAGCCCTTGGCTTTTTGTGGCTTGCCTTTCCTGTGACCCCTGAGCCTACTGGGGATGGTGCAATTCCTGACCAGGGAGAAGTTGTCTGTGCAGGGGATGCTGTACCCAGCATCAGGCTTTGGGGTGTGGGGTTCAGGGTGTGGGGGCCAGTCTGCTCTGTGCTGGCTGAGCCTCCCCTCATGCTGTTCTCTCCACTGCAGGCTTCAAGGCAGAGTGGCTGGCAGTGAAGGATGAGCACCTGTATGTGGGGGGAATGGGCAAGGAGTGGACCACCAAAACAGGGGAGGTGGTGAATGAGAACCCCCAGTGGGTGAAGATCATCGGCTACAAGGGTGATGTGATCCATGAGAACTGGGTGACGAACTACAACGTGCTGAGGGCTGCAGCAGGGATCCGACCCCCAGGTACAGAGTGGGGCAGCCTCCTGCCACCCCATATCCCACACCCTTGGTGGCTATAAGGCCACGGTCACCCTCCCCAGGGATACTGACTGAGATTTAAAGCCTACTGGAGGCCAGAGACCTCCTCATATCCTGGTAGAGAGGCCAGAGGTCTCCCCCTACCCTGGCCATTTTTCTCCCATGTCTATGCTATGAGCAGCTAGAGGGTGGCTCTGCTGGTGCTGGGCCTGGCAGCCAGGATCCTGGGCAGAGCAGGCCATGCCAGGTTGTCCCTGCTCAGCTCTTGGAGGAATGGGGGAGCTGCTGCCAGGCAGTGGGGCAGGAGGAGGCAGAAGTGCTCACAAGGGCTGCCTGATGGGGCTGTGACCTCCGCAGCTGGGGGTATTTTGGAGGGGGAGGGTCCCACCCCAGCCTGGGCTGTGCCCTGTGCTGTCACACACCACTTCCCACCGCAGGGTACCTGATCCACGAGTCTGCCTCCTGGAGCGAGACGCTGCAGCGCTGGTTCCCCCCCCCAGCCACGAGCGCTACAGCGAGAAGGAGGACGAGCGGCGAGGCACCAACCTGCTGCTGAGCTCCACCCAGGACTTCGGGGACGTGACGGTGGGGCACGTGGGCAAGGTGGTCCCCACCCATGGCTTTTCCTCTTTCCAGTTCATCCCGGACACCG